TGATACATTCTATAACATGAACCTTGGCGACATTATGCTAAGTGAAATAAACCAGACACAAAATAACAAATATTGTTTGGTTCCAGTTACACGAAGTACCTTGAATGATCATATTCATAGAGACAGAAAGTAGAACAGTGGTTGCCAGAAGCTGGGGGAAGGGCAATGGGGAGGATGCAGAATTTCAGTTTGGGAGGATGAAGAAGGTCGGTGATGGTTGTACTTCATGTCACTAAATTGTACACTCAAAATGTTAAAAAAAAAGGCAAAACGAAACAAAAACAAATGTGGGGAAGGGTTATGGGGAGATAAAAAAAGATCAGAGGCCAGGTTAGGTGGGAAATGATCCACTTTCCCAAATACTCCCAATCACTAACAACATCATGGGCAGGACTGGAAAAAGATAGGTCCTGTATGGGGATGGGCAAAAGCAGGTTGACAGTTGTTCGAAAATAATACAGTAATTAATAAATAATACAAGAATAAACTGTGTTTCGCATACTCACAACTGTAAACTTACTTTTGCCCACCCCTGTATTCACAAACCTCACACATACACCACCACCATCTTGAATCTATAATCAAAACAAGAACAGCAAGCTGATGTTGATGAAAGTGTGAAGAGAGAACACACACATTCCTACGTACAGGTCACAAAAATGGCCACTCCACAGACCCTCTTACCTTGAGTGCCAGCTGAAACTCCAACAGTTTGGTGTAGCAGGCAGCTCGATTGCTGTACAATTTGGCATCTCGTGGGTTCCGTTTGATAGCTTCTGTGTAATGCTTCATGGCTTGGGGATAGTCCCCTGAATAAGGAAAAGAGAAACTTAAAAAAAAAATGTATAAAGCCACCTGCCCCCACCAGGGCATATTTACCCCGCAGTCAGCCGAGGCCCAGAAAGCATGTTTACACCACTCTCATCCAAAAGTGCCACCATCCAGGCTGTAGATACCTTTCTGGAAACACTCATTGCCTTTGTTCTTCTCCTCCAAAGCCAGGTCAGGGTTTATGTAGGCCAGCCGCTCTTGCTCCTTTAAGATTTTCTCTGCCTAAGAAAACATAATTCTTGGAATAGTCATTTAAATTCTTAGAAACATAAATATTGGGCTTAAAAAGCCAGATCAGAATTTTAATTTTCAAAGAGTACTGCTGGCAAGATTTGATTTTTAAGAATTTTATATCCTTATTTTCAAGGTTCACTGTGAAACAGAATGGTATTGACATACACTTGGTACAAACATATGCCCCATAGGAAAATGGTGCATGTGTTAATAGCACAAGTAATTTTCGACTAGTATTTTTGTGAATACAGTCTCCCTCCTACATAATTTATGACAACTGGCATAATACACAACACTCGGGGTATGTAAGAAAAATCTTAAGTTATACATCATTAAGTGATAGGGCAGCGTCATATAATACGACTAGAGACACTACTTAAAAAAATTAAGGTTCATTATTAAATGACAATAAATAAAGTAACAATAGATTAAGAGATAACAAAACAGCCCTTCTTCCCCACCCACCTGTTGGCATTTCTTGAGCACATCTGGTGTTCGGTGCTCTGCCAGAGACTTGTTGTAGAAATGGATGGCATCCTTGTATTTTTCTTCTTTGAAGTAGGAATTGCCAATTCGTGCGTAAGCTCTGGCAAAGACAAGAGGAAAAAGAACTTGCTAAGGGGAGAGCAGACACAAAGCCAGCCCCTGCAGAAAAAACACATCTACAACTAGAAACAAGGCCCACACCACTGCTCAGGCACTGTGCCCCTCCGACACCTTTTGTCTTGACTCCTGCGGCCTCCTTTCCAGCCTGCTATTGACAGATACTGGACGACAGACCACACATTCTGTGGCCAGCAACCCTTCTCCCCACGCATTTAAATTAAATCTTGGACATTCAAACCTCTGAACCACTCAAGTACTCCAGAAGGTCGAGCGTACCTGGCGATCTGTCGGTAGTCTTCCCGGTTTTCTCGCCCCACTTCAATGGCCTTCTCACAGAGCTCCCGGCATTTGCTGTAGTCGCCCTTTTCGAAGTACACGGCTGCCAGGCAGGATGGTTAAGAAGGAAGAGTCAGCCCTTGCCTCTCCCTGAGGTCCGCCTAACAACGCACTTGCCCCTCTTCCTGGGCCTCACCTGCTTGATTGGTCAGGTAAGTCATGTTGGTGGGGTCCAGGTCCTTGGCTCTGTCGTAGTGCTTCAAGGCTGTGTCAAAGTCTTTCTTCTTGTAGGCGTCATTTCCCAGCTCCTTTTCTTTCAGTGCCTAGATGAGGTACGAAAGAAGTAAGTGCCAAGCAAACCTGACCAAGACGGCAAAAAGAGCAAGAGCCTGTGACCTGCCACAGGCACTGAATGGCACCTGCTACAACCAGCTATCGGTTTTAAACAGTGAAGTACTAGCTGTTCAAATGAGAAGCTGAGTTTCATCTCTGCTTCCTCTGAAAGTCCCTTTTCCACCTACGCTCCTGGATCTTTGTCAGAAAACAGAGGGCCTCTTCAGGGAAGAGGAAAGCCCTTCAACTTGAATCGCCTTCAAAGAGGACAGCATAGTCTGTATCAGGTTTGACTGTGAGAGGCTGCACCAAGTCCAGTTTCTGCTGTGTGGCTGTCTCAGGTCTCAGTTGTCAACAAACAGCAGCAGATGGGGTGGTGAGAGGATTAGAAAGGGCTGTACTGGTGGCACGAGTCTTCAGTACAGCTCACTTACCACCCCCACTGTAGGGCCTTTTTTCCAGCTTTGAGACACCCCAAACAACCAATGCTTACCCAGTGGAAGATGCTAAATCTGGCAACAACCTGCTGTTCTCATTTACAAGAAGGGAAATAAAATCATTTAGGCACTTGCCTCCTACTCTGGAAGACATGCAGCTAAGTGGACAACCTTTAATTACACACTCCGTCCAACCAGAACAAAGAAGCAGAAGCCTAAGGATTGATATAGACAACATTCTTCTGGATCGTGGCAAGGACAACTTTACTGGTCTCACAACTTTACTGGTCTGCCCTGGTCAATATTCAAACCGGCAGAACCACAGTGGCTGTGGACTATGAAAGGGTAGCTAGCTCCCACGGCCATAAGTCTTTGAGATACACGATTCCTATGAAATCACTTGTACCACTTTAATAAATAATAAGCTTAGCACACACTAAACACTCAAAAATATACAGCCACCCAAGGTCTATAGATGTTCCCACCTGACATATCTATGTTGACTGGGTTGTTTACAATTGTATGATAGTAACGAGAGAAAAAATGAGACCTGCTTCTTGTTCTCTGGAAGATCCTCTTCCATTGGTTCTGGTTTGGTCTCCTTTTTGGGAGGAGGTGGTGGCGGAGGTGTAGCAACTTCTTCCTCATCATCCATACTGCCCAGATCAAATCCAAGGAGGACACTGAGAGTAGTCATAATCCGGGGATCTTGCAGTTTCCTAGTACAAAACAAAAAAGGAAAAGTAACAACCATTCTTCCCCACAAGTGATCTTTAAATTACCACTTACTGCGAAAGCTCAGACTACTGTATACAAAAGCTTCTCACCCATCAAAAGAGTGCTAGATTCTGTACTTATGAGTTACAACTGGGAAATATTCAACCCTTCAAAAATCCATCTAAAATGAGGTAACGGAGGTAGATTTATTTCTTGAGTCAGCAGATATAGAACAGAGTTATATGTATACTTCATCTGATTTCAGAAGTCAGAGGAGTTCAGAGAGACAGATACTAGTATAAGATTTAGAGATACCTCTTTACACCTTACATTCTTTTTCTTTCTTTTTAAAATATATCTTTATTGATTTCAGAGAGGAAGAGAAAGATGGAAACATCAATGATGAAAGAGAACCATTGATTGGCTGCCTCCTGCATGCCCCACATTGGGGATCGAGCCTGTTACCCAGGCATGTACCCTGACCAGGAATCGAACAGTGACCTCCTGGTTCACAGGTTGATGCTCATAGGTAGGTATTTTTCTTTAAAAATAAAAATAAATATTATTTTGATTTTTAGAGAGAGGAAGGGAGGAAGAGAGAAAGAAACATCCATGCGAGAGCGAGACATCTATTGACTGCCTCCTGCATATCCCCTGACCGGGAATCGAATTAGCAACCTTTCGGTGCATGGAACAACACCCAACCAACTGAACCACACCGGCCAGAGCCTGACATTCTTTTTAGCCTTGAGTTTCCACTTTGATATACCAAACAGCAGGGCTTATGTCTATGGAAAGGATATGGATGGTGTCAGGTCAGAATTGTAGGAGAGCAGTGAAGAGGCCTGTGAGGGTTAGAATGAACATTCCAGATCACGCTGCTTTATGCTCTGCAACCCTTTCTAGAAATACAAACAAATGAAAAACCAACAACTCCTACTGCTCTTTGGGAGAAAAAGCAAAGGCAGAAATCCTGCAGTTGGATGGAGGGAACCTCTCCCATAGGATCCTAGGAAGAACATCATGTTCACATCCACTTCCAGAGATAAACCGCTGCCTGAACTTACGTGCCCAGATCGGATGGCTTGTTTCGCAGTTGCTCTATCAGTGCCCGGTAGGTAGGATCATTGAGCAGCGCCCTTGTCCTGGGATCGCTCTCCAACTTCTGGTACAGATTGGGCATGTTGAAAGGGTTCATGAATTTCCTCTCTGTTCCAAACAAAGTGCATCGGTTCACTCAAGTTACTATGCCCCTATAGCTTACTGACACTTCAGGGGGGAAAAGCCTCAAAATTAATCCCACCTTAAAGATAATGATTGAAAAAGGGAAAACGACAATGTACATGGTGCTCACCTGCCAACCGGGCCTCCATATTCTGTAATCCCTCTTTGAGCTGAGGATTATTTGCTTCATGCTTTAAACCCTCCTCATAGGTTTGCTTGGCTTCTTCAAATCGGTTCAAGAACTCAAGAGCTGCTGCTTTTCGAGAATAGCCCTTAAATCAGCAAAGACAGACACAAAATTCAGTAATGGGCCACACAAAAACATTATGGTTAATGACGAACTGCATCTATGACAGTGGTCTCCTAAGATTATAATAAGGCTAAAAAATTCCTATCACCTAGTGACATTGTAGTCATTCTAAAGTGGTAGGGCAATGCTTTGCTATTTCTTAAGTAAACTGAGTGTAGCCTAAGTGTACAGAGTTTATAAAGTCTACAGTAGTGTATAGTAGGTCCTAGGCCTTCACATCCATTCACCCTCCTGCACTGACTCACCCAGAGCAACTTCCAGTCCTGCAGGCTCCATTTGTGGGAAATGCCCTGTACAGGTGCACCATTTTTTATCTTTTCCATTCTGTTACCGTTGCCTATAGTATTCAGTAAGGTAGGTTTGCAGCCCAGGAGTGCTAGACCATACAGCCTAGCTGTGCAGGTTCGACCGCCTAGGTTTGTGTAGGTGCGCTATGATGCTTGCACAACAATGAAATCATTTAATGACTTAGTTCTCGGAATGTATCCCTGTTAAGAGATGCATGACCAGCTTTAGTCTGTTTGGCTCAATGGATAGAGCATCTGCTTGTGGAACAAGGGCATATACCTCGGTTGCAGGCTTCTCCCCAGCCTGGGCCCTGGTCAGGGTCCGTGCAGGATGCAACCAATCGATGTGTTTCTCTCACATCGATATTTCTCTCTTCCCCTCTCTCTTCCACTCTCTGTAAAAATCAATGGAAAGATATCCTCGGTGAGGATTAAAAAAAAAAAAAAAAAAAGATGCATGACCAACCCAGTCGACATGGTTCAGTGGTTGAGCATCGACCTATGAACCAGGAGGTCACAGTTCAATTCTGTCGGGACACATGCCCAGGTTGTGAGCTAGATCCCCAGTGTTGGGCTTGTAGGAGGCACCGATCAATGATTCTCTCTCATCATTGATGTTTCTATCTCTCTCTCCTTCTTCCTCTCTGAAATCTATATATATAAAAAAGCACCACAAAAAAGCAAACAAACAAAAAAGAGATGCACGACTGTAAAGGATACTTAAGAAGTAATCCAGAAGGTGAACTCAAAAGAATCTATGAATCTATTTTACATTTCATGGAACAAAATGGGCATTCATGTGAAGGCAACAAACAAACAAAAACAAAAACCAGGAAGAGCAGGATATAATGCCATGATGGACACTTCAAGAATCCAGCCAACTATCAAAGAGGCACACCCTACCCACCCCAATTCATCTTTTCAAAAAAAATATATATCTTATTAATTTTTACAGAGAGAAAGGGAGAGGGATGGAGAGTTAGAAACATCAATGAGAGAGAAACATCGATCGGCTGCCTCCTGCACGCCCCCTGTTGGGGATCGAGCCTGCAATCAAAGTACATGCCCTTGACGGGAATCGAACCTGAAACCCTTCTTCAGTCCGAGGCCGATGCTCTATCCACTGAACCAAACCCATTAGGGCCCAATTCATCTTATAATCAAGTGTTGCCAGTTTCTTAGGCAGCATTTTCTTTCTCAGTAGTTCAAAAAAAATAAGACATGTCTTAACAATTGATAGTACCTCAGATGTGATGAAATATGCTATTACTCTGAGGAATATACTTTAAATGGGTAATAAAATACTATACTAGTCTATTGGGCTAGGCACTGAGCCAGGTCAGGAGGGCATGATACTTAAGAACTGCACACCAAAGGGCATTTCTGGGAAGCCCAAAGAACCCCCACTCAACCACAGCTTACCTTGCCCCAGTCAGGCTTTAAGTCAACAGTTTTGCAACCATCTTCGTAGGCCTTCTGGTAGTCGCCTTTCTTGGCGTAGGCTGCTGAGCGGTTGCTGTAGAGCACATGGTTGTGGGGATCTAACTTGATTGCTTCGGAATAGCACTGTAATGCATCGTTGATGTTGCCGGCACTCAGGGCCTTATTGCCCTTCTCTTTTAGCTCATTTACCTGAGGAGAAAAGGAGCCACAATACGTTTATTTAGTCCCAACTCTTAGGTGATGCTCATTCTTTGCTGCAGTTACAAACAAAGGGTTACTTTACAGATCAGAAGAGAGAAATCATAGATCAATTCATTTATACTTCCCAGCAAGGAAAAAATAACCAGGCAGAAGCCCGACACATTGCTCTCCACGAGCTCCCATGTGGATTAAGAACTCTGGCCACTCTTCTAAGTCTCTACTTGAAGCTGATGAAGCCACTCTAGAGCATACTCATGAGTTCCTGTCACGTAAAAATAAATTCAGTTGCATAGATTTCCAAAGAGTCCCAACGATAAACTAAGCACAGACCGGGTCACTCCGCACAGGAAGAGGCCATTAGGAAGGAAGTGGAGCGAGTAGGCGCTAAAGGCTTTAGGAGGCTTCTCCAGGAGCACTGAGATGCTCCCCATGATCAGAGAAAAATCTACACATTTCCATTTACAGTGTGGTAACCTATCACAACATGGTAGATCGATGCTTTGTTCTTTAATAGGTAAAGGCAGCCCCACCCCCCAATCAGGTTTTGGCATGCTTAAATATTAATATATTAAGAGGATAAAAACATGACTGGTGGTTGAATCCCCATCCTCTCGCACATTCAGAATGGAAGGAAAGGAGTACATTAAAGGTTTAAAAAAGTGAGTGGGCCTTGGCTTTCAGAGCAGGGGCCGAAGGAAAGGGGCTTCTTCTACAAGAAAGGGAGGGCCGCCCCTTAAAGGCAAACACATCCACTGAGCTAAAGCTATGTCCTTCGTTACTGCATCATTCTTTTTTTTTTACCTACCATCCACCCATGACCCAGTATACTGATGCAACGAAGAATTCTGTTAAGGGAAATGATTTTGGAACTGAGGCACACCAGTTGGGAACCTCCATCAGAAGGAACGTAGAGAGAACCTCAAAGTGAAAAAAGGCAGGAGGCCACCAAATTTAAGCAAACAAGGGATAAAAATCTTAGAACCCAGGATGGAGGCCAAAAGTTAAACCTCAACTCAACTAGTAACAAGAAGTAGCTAGGAGCAGCTTGATGGAGTTATTGCCTATTCTACACACCATCATTTTCCAAATGGAGTACTGTACTGTCAGTCAGCAAATAAAGTTTATAGGTCATGATCAGCACTTGAAAAGATCAAGTGGAACAGAAAATACCAGCATGTAGCCCACATAACATTAAGTAGTTTTGTTAAATGTATTAAATGGTTGTATGTATGTACTGGGTTAAATGTAAAGAGTATCACTAGAATTTATTGAAAGGTACTATATTTACTTAATACAATTTTGGACACTCAAATTTCCCTAAAATTGATATGTGAATCTCAAAGTTGAAAATGAAAACAAAAGGTGGAGAAGTCACATTTATTTTCAGGAATGGGTTTAAGATAATAAATTTTATTTAAAAACAAACAAACATTTTTATTGATTTCAGAGAGAAGGGAGAGAGAGAGAAACATCAATGATGAGAGAGAATTGATTGGCTGCCTCCTGCACACCCACACTGGGTATAGAGCCTGCAACCGGGTATGTGCCCTGACCGGGAATGGAAGAACCCTGACCTGGTTCTTAGGTCCTCGCTCACCCACTGAGTCAAGCCGTTGAACTAAGCCAGACAACAGATTCTAACAACACCTGGAACTAAAATGCCAGGTCAAGCTCTGGCTGGGTAGCTCAGTTGGTTAGAGCATCATCCCAATATGCCAAGGTTGTGGGTTTGATCCCTGGTCAGGGCACATACCAATAAAAAAGAACATACTGCCCTAGCCGGTTTGGCTCAGTGGATAGAGCGTCGCCCTGAGAACTGAAAGGTACCAGGTTCCATTCTGGCCAAGGGCACATGCCCGGGTTGTGGGTTTGATCCCCAGTGGGGGACTTGCAGGAGGCAGCCAATCCATGATTCTCTCTCATCATGGATGTTTCTATCTCTCTCTCTCCCTCTTCTTTCCTCTCTGAAATCAATAAAAACATATTAAAAAAAAAAAACTAAACAAACAAACAAAAAAAAGGCCAGGTCATTTGCACAATTGCCAGGGTAAATTTGTAATCCCACATTTAGCCAGACATTCATTTACAATCTACCTGTACACAGACTTCTGTGAATGGCAGTGTGATTTTATTCCCCCCCCCCCCCCCCAATTCATTTTACTTTGGTAAACGCAGGGTAACGAAAACTTTTTAAAATTTAACAGAATGATGTGTTTCTCATTCCGGAAACCGCTGGTCTATACCACAGCCTACTTATTCCCAGACAGAATCTAATCACCACCAGGGAGAACAAAGTTAAACGTCTCCATTCCGCTTTAATTTAGCAAAGAGACTCGAGATGTGACCAAAGGAACAATGGCTATCCTGCAGCAAAAGGTTCAGCTCTGTCGATCGCACCAAAAATCAGAGCCATGTCCCCCTCCAGATCCATCACTGCAGCTCAACGACAGCTTCCGACGGAACGTAACCTCTGTGGGCTTTTCACAACCTTCAAGCCACTGGGGATACAACGAAGACACTGGACGCACCCAGCTCCAGCCCGCCCCCCGCCCCCCAAATGCTGAGCAGAGAGGCCAAGGACTGACTTGGTGCTGCTCATCCACAGAACCTAAATTTTCACAGCGACGCCCTCCTCCCCGTGTAATTAGAAACCGACCTTTCAGAGTTGTCTGTCCTCGGTTACTCTAGAATCACACACACAAGGAAAAAAAAAAAAAGGCGAGGAGGGGGAGGGCCGCACATGTGTGTGTGAAACCCTGGCGGGGACGCATTCGCTCCAAGGACTTTTGCGGCTCCCTCCCCTTCCCTGCATCGGGCGGAGAAGTCGGCCTGCTGCTCGTCATACCTTCACTCCGCACTCTTCCACCCCGGGTTCCAGACACAGAAAAGCGGCCTATTTCCCCCAAATGGCCACTGAGCCCCTCAGCTCCTTCCAGCGTGTCCGTCCCCGCTGCCTGCATGCCTCCAAGTTAACTGTGGCCAAGTCCTGGGGGGCCCCGTGGTCGGCATTCTCTCGTCCATCCCCCAGAAGCCGAGTTCCCCGATGTGGACCCGACCCCTCGCGCCTCCTCCGAGCCCCCGAGCCCACCTCCATCCCTCCCGGCGCCCGGGCTCTACCCTCCCACCCCCCGCTTAGCCCAGGGCCACTTCCCGGGAGGCCTCCGGGACCCGGCCGCAGGCCCCTCTCGCCATGGTGGGCCGGACTCACGCCGACCTGTCGTCTACCCTAGGCTCTGCTCGCCGAGTCGGGAGGCGAACGACACCGAGTGGACCCGGCGCTCCCCGCGGCCCGGCCTCGCTCCACCGCTCACCGCCCGCCGGCCGCGGCCCTCACGCCCTCGCCTTTCTCGCTGCTCCGCTGGCCCAGCCCTCCGCCCCGATCGGATGCCCGCCCGGCCTGTCCACCCGCGCGGCCTGGCCTGGGCCGGTCCCGGAGCGGTCCTTGGGCCTCAGCCTGCCCCTCCTTCTTCACCTGCTCCATAGCCCAGTCCGGAACCCGGTAGAATCGACTCCGTCGGCTCCGCGTTCCCAACCGCACGCGCCGCCTTCTGGAACCTACTAGAAGCTGCCGGGACCCCCGGATCCCGCCCCTTCCTCGTCTGCTCACTGGTCACGCTCCTCTAAGGGCTTTCTATGCTTCTTTACTATTGGCTTAAAGCCTAGCCCATCACCTCCGCTTCTCTTTCATTGGACAGCAGGGAGTAATCCCCTTGGCCCTGCCTCCAAGACGCCTCGGGATTGGGCGCTCCCAAATAGGCCCCGCCCACCATAGACTGCCCGATTGGAAGGCGGGTCAGAAATCTGCGACAGCGATTGGTTACTTGCTCCGCTAATCGTGGCCGCGCTGGCCGCACCCATTGGTCCTGTTCTTTCTGGAAATTTCCACATTTCCCATTGGGCTGACAGACTTCATGACAGAAACGCCTTCAGAAGGAAAAAAAAAATTCAATTGGGCGGAGAGTTGCCAGCACTTTGCGCTGATAGGTTCTCACCGCTGCCCTTCTAAGGAGCCTGTAGCGACAGCCCTCCTTTGCCGCGGTGGCTCCGGCAGCCGGAGGGCCGTGGGGGACGCCGGGGTTCCGGGCCGCTTCCCGCCTCCGGCTGCTGCGGTCCGGCCGTTGACTCGCGCCTCCCCCGCGCAGAGAGCCCCAGTCTCTCGCCCGTGCTTCGGGCTCTCGGGGGTCCCAGTGGTGAGGGTGACCGTCAGGGGCGGCCCCTACCCGGAGCCCAGCTGTTCGGGTCTGAATGTTCAAAAAGACAGCGCGGCGGGAAAGGCTGGGCCGGGGGAGGACAGACCCGGGCTCTCACGCCGGTGGGGCCGGTGGCGGCCGAGTCCCCTCCGTGGAGACCCTCCGAACCTCGGGGGTAAAGGGTCGGTCATCTAGGGCCAGGGCTTCCTGTGCAGCGTGTCGCACTGACTGGAAGGAGCCACCCCCCCTCCATGGTTTGTACGTAAAGGGGCGAAGGAAACAGACCGCAGCGTGGAGCTTGACCACCTCCTGGCGGGGGCGGCCCGGGAGCGCCCTAAGCCGCAGCCCACGTGCCAGAGGCAGAGCGGGCACCGAGGGAGGCGACAGGAAGGGCTCGGAGCGGGAAGGATGGGCCTGCGGACTCTCACTGTTGCTTTTGCACCTGGGCCTGTGCGGAGTCCATGGAACAGAAGAGCCTCTGCGGCCTGGAGAGGGGCCCGGGGTCCGGCTGGATCGCCGTTCCCTTTGGCGAATGCCATTCCTTCCCAGGGTGGCACGTGTCCTCTGTGCCAACAGCCTGACCGCCCGGCCGGCTTGACATTGCGGCCAAAGTCACCGCAGATTCACGTGGCTGCCACCTCCCTCCCTCGCTGAACTCTGGGCTTCAGATCGGGCTCAGGGCCGTCTAACTGGGCAGGCCTGCGTTTCCCACCCTTTTTCCTGTTCAGCACAGACCTCCAACCACACGGACCCCTCCTTCCCCGAACTAGGTGGGCTCCTGGGCGCTGGGCCCGCCTCCGAGCTGCTCCCTCTGCCGGTTCCCCGGCCACCAGCTCTGCCGGGTTTACCTCGAGTTTCTCTGGCTGAGATGGGCCGTCAAGGTTCCATGGCAACTGGCCCCAAACAAACACACTGATTTCTGTCCACCTGTTCCCGGCTTTCTCAGCACCCTGGGCCACCCACGTGTCCCCGTCACAGACCGGTGCCTGGGAGGTAGCACCACAGTCTGTGAGGTCCAGAAGGGCCTTGGGTTTGTTTTCCTTTATCCTGGGTCCCAGCTGCATTGCAGTGTCCGGCACAGTGGCATTCATCAATCCATCAAACATCGAATGCCCTGTTATGTGTCAGGTGTAATTGTGGGCACTGGGGGAAAGGCAGTGAACAAAACGGACAGAAATCCGTTTTCGTGGTGTTTGTTAGTGAAGGAGACAAACCTAAAAGTGTATGTAGGGTACCTGCACAGGCGCAGTAGAGAAACATGTCGGGGACAGGAGGCCAGGAGCGCTGGGTGAGGGGCCAGGGCAAACCTCGGTGAGAAGCTAACATTTGAGAAAAGACACAGGGAAGTGAGATGATGAGAAGTCTGGGGAAGAACTTTGCAGTCAGAGGGAACAGCCGGGCAGAGGTCCTGGGGTAGCAGCTGCCTTGGGGTGGCCAGAATGGAGGCAGCAGGGAAGAGGCAGGCGGAGTCAGGTCCTGCAGGTGGGAGGCCGTTGTGTTCACGGTGGGACATGCTGGCAGATTCTGAGCAGAAGAGGAACACGATCCATTTCCTTTCATCAGCTCCCTGTAGCTGCTGTGCAGATGAAGAGGGCAAGGGGGAGGCTGGGAGAGCTGTGGTGGCGGCCGGGCCAGGGTGGGAGCAAAGCAGGGCTGAGAATTGTATTCAGATGCACTTTGCCGAGCCACCAGGGCCTAGTGATGCATTGGAGGCGGAACATGAAGGAAGGAGGAGACAAGGATGGCTCTAAGCCTTTGGCCTGCTAGAGTCTAAGGCTTTTGGCCTCTCTCATTCTTCTGCTAAATTTGCCAACAAGACCTTTCCTTTCTTCTTGGCACCTTCTTCAGACCACACTCCTGCTAATCCCACTGCTGTTCCTTAGACCAGCCCTTCCTCTGTCTCTGGTGGCCTTTCCAAGCCTTCCATCATCTCCCCCACAGCCTGTCTCCAGGCTTCTGTCCTGTTCCTCTGTGTGACCTGGACACGTGTTTTTATATAGTCCTACTACGTGTGGCGCTCTGCGTGCAGGGGCTCAGCAGTAAAAAAGGCAGCCCACAGGCGCAACTTCTGCTTACATGGCTCTTGTCTTCGAATGGGAGAGTCAGATGATACTTAAACTCATCAGCTGTGTGACTTTAAGCAACCTACTTGACCTCTCTGTGTTTCAGTTTCTTCCATTTTAAAACGGGGATGAGAAAGTTTCAATGTCAGATTAGTTGTGAGGATGAAATGATCTGATATTTGTAATGCAAGAGGGACAGTGCCTGATGACAGGGTAAGCACTATCTGCACTCGTTACAGAAAAATAAATGCACAGCCCGGCCGGTGTGGCTCGGTGGTTGAGCATCCACATATGAGCCAGGAGGTCACGGTTCAGTTTCTGATTGGGGCACATGCCCTGGTGTCAGGCTCGATCCCCAGTAGGGGGCATGTAGGAGGCAGCCAATCAATGATGCTCTCTCATCATTGATGTTTCTATCTCCCTCTCTCCTTCCTCTCTGAAATCAATAAATATACATATATATATATATATATATATATATATATATATTTAAAAATAAATGCACAGATGAAGATAATTCTAGACTTATAAGGAAAGCAAATGGTAAGGGACAGAGAATAACCAGGGAGGCAGGAAAGGAAGGGGCCCTTAAAGGTGGGTGCATAGTGAAGGCCCCTGAGACCTGGGGGGGGGTGGAGAAGCCAGCCAGGGACGAGGTGCCAGGAAAGGTAACGGAGGATGCAGGGCTGAACAAGTGTGGAATTTTCAAGGGACCCAAAGATGGCTTTCCTATGCTCTATGACCTTGTCCGTAAAGAGATGATGAGGTGCCAGTGACTTCCCAACGTTGCTACGAGGATTAAACGAAATAACCCAAACTCAAGTCCTGTCAGACCTGACACTTATAAAAATGTGAGAGCCTTCTTTCAGAAAAGAAAAATGCAAATTAAAACACGAGGTATGGCGCTGCAGAAGGGAGACCCTAAAGCTTAAGCTGAATCGGTGTCATGGTAAAGCCACGTCTGAACAGTGAGAAATGTTCACTCCCATCACTCCCACCGACTGGGCTTCTCCAGGTTGCTGGCGAACTCGGAGCCCCTGGGTGGGCAGGGGGCAGGGTCCCCTTCCCCGGCTCCCTGGACACCAGCAGCAGCTCCACAGAAGGCGTCCTGGGCGTCACGGTTCAAGTGATTCATGCTGCTATTCCAGTGCCGCCGCTCTCAGGGCCGGGAGCAAGGCGGCGAGGGCAGTATTTGTCCACGCAGGCATCCTGGGCGCCCTGAGCGAAGGACAGACCGCAGGGCTCCATGCGTGCGGCCAAGTTCTCTGCAGAGCAAACTTCCCGTTGTAAAGTTCTCCCAAGATCAGGAAAAATAAAACATCTGGACCTCAGGGAGCCGAGCGTGGGTTAAGGCGTGGAGATGAGAGGGGGCTTGCGGCTCTGACTTCTGGGGTCTGCAGCACATGGAATTTTTGTCTTTACAAGAACTTTCACTGTTGGAGTGGGAATTTGAGGGCAAAGTTCCCTTCCGATTCTGAGAAATTCCTAAAGAATATCTCATTTCCCATTTAACTGAATGATTCTAACTTCCAGCTCTCCCGCTAAGATAGCATGGGAGCCCTGACTAGCAGGGAAAACATGTGGGAAATGAAGTGCCATAGAGTTCTGCTCAATTCGGCGAACTTCTATGGAGAGCCAGGCACCGTGCCAGATGCTTCAAGGAATAAAACGGTGGTAATTATTATCCAATAAATTATTCAGAGAGCCCCAGAGCCCAGCCTGGGACCTCGCCATCCACCCTGCCTCCCGGAGTGACCTCAGGCAGCCTCGTGGCTATAAATACCGTCTCGATGACTCCCACACTTCCATCTTCCGCTCAGATCTTGCACCCAAGTTCCAGGCTGTCCCCCCAGATGCCTCCTCGCTGCCTCCCTGGGAAGGCCAATGGACTTCCCAATGTGTCCAAATTGGAGCTCCTGATATTCTCCCCCAAGTTGCTCCTCCCTTGACTCCCCTCTCATCAGTGGCCTCACCATTCTTGGACGTGTTCAGACTGGAAACTTTGGAGGCATCCTTGACTCGTCTGTCACAGCCACGTTCAGCTCATCAGCAAATACTGCCAGCTGGATACAGACCCCTTCACAGCTCCCCAGCCATCTCCTAGCTGTGACTGGGAACGGGAGGGAGAGGAGTGTTAGCTCCCTGAGTTGGGGGGGCGGGGTCAGAGTCCAAGGGAATCCCCAGCCTGGCTCTCAGGCCTACCCTGAGAGAGGCGAGTTGGGATGGAGGATGAGAGGAGAGCTGCTGTATGCAGGTGACCACCGAGTTGAGTGCAGTGAGGACACTGACGACAACCATGATATACAGTGGACCAGTGCTCCTGCCAAGGTTAACGGCATCACACACTCTTCCCCTAGTTTGGGACCCCCTGGACAGAGAAGGGGCCCCAGTCATAACTGAGATAAAATATCCTGACTGCTGGGTAGGATGGGGGCTTGGGGTCAGAATGAGTGGGTCCCAAGGCAGTGGTTCTCAACCAGGGGTGATTTTGCCCACAGGGGACACTTTGCAATGCCCAGAGACTTTTTTTTTGTCATAACTTGGAGGGTGGATGGGCTACCGAGGCCAGGGATGCTGCTGAACAGCCTGGAATGCGCCGGACGGCTCCCCAAATTATTTGGCTCCAACTGTAAACAACTCAGGTTGGGAAATGTTAAATGCATTTCTTGCACACCTGAGCTTGGTTGAGGCTTGAGACTGAAACCTGCTACATGACAAGCAGGTTTAAACTGACCGCAGTGCAGCCCGGTTCAGTGGTTGAGCGTTGACCTATGAACCAGGAGGTCATGGTTTGATTCCCGGTCAGGGCACATACCAGGTTGTGGGCTCCATCCCCAGTGTGGGGTGGTGCAGGAGGCAGCCAGTTGATGATTCTCTCTCATCATGGATGTTTCTATCTCTCTCTCCCTCTCCCTTCCTCTCTGAAATTATATATATATATAACCACAGTGCATAAGATGACACCCAATACCAGGAGAAGGCTGTCGGGGGCACTGCAGGAGATGAAAGATGGTGCAAATTCGGTGACACCCCACCCACTGAAAGGTGTGTGTGGTGGGGAGTTTGTCCCCTCCCCTTGAATTTGGTGGGCCCTGGGACTATGCTGACTGACCAATAGAATACAGGGGTAGTGTTACTGTGCCCGTTTCCAAGCCTTATAACACTGGCAGCGTACACTTCCCATCTTTTGAGACACTCACTCTTGGAGCCCTGTGTTGCCATGTAAGAAGTCTGATGTCCTGAGGTAGCCATGGTTCAAGGAAGCCCAAGCTGCCACGTGGACAGCCCAGCTGTTCACCAGCCCAGCCCAGGTGTGTGAGGGAAGCTGTCTTGGACCCTCCAGCCCCACCCAGTCACTACTGAGCCACCGGAGCTGAGGCCGTATGGAGCGGAAGAATCTAGCAGCTCTTAGCTGAGCCTTTTCCTGCTCTTTGGACTCATTCTCTGGGCAGCTCTCAGCGCCGCCTGAACTGACTTGCACTTGTTCACTTGTTGACCAGGTGTCTCCCACGTTAGACTCTGGGCAGGGCCTACGATCTGTTCACCGCCATGTGCAGTCCATCTGCCCTGTTCGGTCTGTGACTTTAATTAGAGGGTGTGAGTGGTAGGCTGCCTGCAATGATGGCTGTAGTAATTCCTCCTGCCCCTCCATGCCCACCCTTTGCAATGGGACTGGCTGCTCCTCCCATTAAGAGGTTGAGTCTATCTCTCTCTCCAGTCCCTCAAGTATAGGCTGGCCTTGCAACCTGCATTGACCAACAGGATGTGATGGCGGTAATATAGTGTGACCTTAGAGCAGCGGTTCTCAACCTGTGGGTCGTGATCCCTTTGGCGGTCGAACGACCCTTTCACAGGGGTCGCCTAAGACCATCCTGCATATCAGATATTTACATGACGATTCATAACAGTAGCAACATGACAGTTATGAAGTAGCAACGAAAATAATTTTATGGTTGGGTCACAACATGAGGAACTGTATTTAAAGGGCCAGAAGGTTGAGAACCACTGCCTTAGAGTTAGGCCTCAAGGGCATTGCAGCCTCTGGTGTCACCCTCTTGGAGCAGGGCCATGGAGACCATGATGCCATGGAGATGCCCAGTCTAGCCCACTGGAGGGTAAGAGACCACATAGAGCAGGCCTGAGGGGCCTTGCTGACAACCAGCATCAGCTGCCAGTCAGTGAGTGAGGCCATCCTGGGCCCCCAGTCCCAGCTGGGTGGTCAGATGACGGCAATCCTGGGAGTGATGCAGGCAAGACCAGCAGATGAACCTTCCAGCTTAGCCCAGCCCAACTGCTGACTCAGCATCCTGGTTGGTACTTTAAGCCAGTGACTTTTCAGTTTAATACACAGCAATGGGTAACTTAAACAATATAAAAGGACCCACGTTCAGCCCTGGCCAGTGTTCTCAGTGGTTAGAGTGTCGATCCGTGCACTGGAAGGGTCTCGGGTTCGATTCCCGGTCAAGGGCATGTCCTGGGTTGCAGGTTCAGCCAGGGGCTCTGGTGGGGCACCTGTGGGAGGCAACCAATCAATGTGTCTCTCTCACATGATGTTTCTCTCTCTCCCCCAGCCCTCTTCCACTCTCTCTAAAAATCAATGGGAAAAATATTCTCGGATGAGAATTAACAAAAATAAAAAAAATAATAAAAGGACCCAAGTTCATAAACAGCATTAAGAGAACTGATTTACCATATTTATAAGTTTAATCTATTAGGGGATAAGAATTGTTTAACTGATTAGAAAAAAATAGGCTTAGCTTGGGAGGGCACCCTCAGTCCTCCACCCACTCTATTTGTAAAGGAAAAAAAGAACAAAAAAGAAAAAAATGTTTGTTAGATGTGTCTCTTCTGTTAAGATTTAAAAAAATATATATTTTTATTGATTTCAGAGAGGGAGGAAGAGGGAGAGAGAGATAGAAACATCAATGATGAGAGAGAATCATTGATTGGCTGCCTCCTGCATACCCTCTACTGGGGATCAAGCTCACAACCCAGGCATGTGCCCTTGAGCAGAATTGAACCCAAGACCCTTCAGTCCGCAGGACGATGCTCTATCCACTGAGCCAAACCGGCTAGGGCTCTTCTGTTAAGATTTTGAGGTGTTTGAGAGGAATAGCTATTTCAACTCTGTACAATGTAGTTTAAATCTATTAGGGAATTTAATTACCTAAGTTTGTAATTGGCATTCATTTTTAGAATTTAATCTATTGAACCTATGAGTTAATTAAAAATTTATCAAAGAATAAATGGAAGTAGTTGTTCTTATTTTTAAACAAACATTAGTAGATTTATAAATAGAAGACTAGATTTGCAAGTTGTATTTGCATGTGTAAGAAAAACTAGTTCTTTTCTTAATTTATAAGTTTAATAAACAGTAGTAATTTAAACAGGAGCAACAGTAAGTAGCTTTTCTCTGCACAAAAGCCCCTCCCTCTCCAATATTAAAATTCCTCAACTGCCAATGCCTGGTGCTACATTCCCACTGGAAGATTTGGCGTTCCACACACTTCCACGCCTGTGTTTCTGTGGGTCCCTCAGCCTGAAATAACACCCACCCTCCACACCAGTGGTTCTCAACCTTCCTAATGCTGCGACCCTTTAATACAGTTCCTCATGTTGTGGTGACCCCCAATTTCATTGTTACAAATTGAACATAATTAAAGCATAGTGATTAATCACAAAAACAGTATGTAATTATATATGTTTCCCAAAGGGGTCGCGACCCACAGGTTGAGAACCGCTGCTCCACACACACCTTTGGTACCCGGCAAAATTTTACCTTTTCCATAAGGTCCAGCTGAAACTCTCTGAGGCGAGGTCCAGTGGGAATCATGCTTCCGTCCACATCCACGCAGGTGTGTGGCCAGGCCTCTCAACTGAAATCACAAACCAAGTCCTGATCCATGGCTTGCTTTTTATTTTTATTTTTTTTATTTATTTTTTTTTTTAAAAATATATTCCATTGATTTTTTACAGAGAGGAAGGGAGAGAGATAGAGAGTCAGAAACATCGATGAGAGAGAAACATCGATCAGCTGCCTCCTGCACATCTCCTACTGGGGATGTGCCCGCAACCCAGGTACATGCCCTTGACCGGAATCGAACCTGGGACCCTTCAGTCCGCAGGCCGACGCTCAATCCACTGAGCCAAACCGGTTTCGGCATGGCTTGCTTTTTAATTTTATTTAATTTTCTGTTGTCGTTAATCTTCACCCGAGGATATTTTTTCCATTGATTTTTTAGAGAGTGGAAGGGAGAGGGAGAGACACAGAGAGAGAAACATTGATGTGCGAGAGATATATATTAATTGGTTGCCTCTGCACGTGCTCTGGGACCAGGGCCGAGGATGGAGCCTGCAACCGATGCATGTGCCCTTCACTGGAATTGAACCTGGGACCCTTCAGTCCTTAGGCCAATACTCTATCCACTGAGCCAAACTGGCTAGGGCTATTTTATTTAATTTTTAAAATTGATTTTAGAGAGAGAGGAGAAGGGAGAGAGACATTGATATGTTGTTCCACTTATTCATTGGTTGATTCTCGATGTGCCCTGAGCAGAGTTCAAACCCATAACCGTGGCATATCGGGATGACTGCAAAGAGAAATGAAGGTTGCAGGTGGAACTCGGCAGACTTTCAGTAGGAAGATTGTCATGGGTTATCCCGGTGGGCCCCAGGTAATCACACACATCCTTGAAAATGAACCAGGTAAGCAAAAGCCAGGCAGAGGGAAAGGCCGCCCTGGGGGAATGGCCAGAGGTGCACCACCGCCTGACCGGCCAACAATGTGGGTGGTCTCTGGAAGCTGGGAAAGGCAACTTCCCAGGAAGGAACACAGCCCTGCTGACACCTTCAGCCCAGGGAGACCCCCGTCAGACTTCTATCCTACAGAGTTTTAAGATCAGGTTGCGTTGTTTAAGCTACTCAATGTGCAATAATTAGTTACGGCAGCAACAGAAAACTAATACACAGGGTCACCCACATCATTTACCGAATCAGTGACATCTGTGCAATCGCTTTCCAGACCACAGATGGGAACCAAAAAACCCTGGACGGAAGCCCGGGCTCAACCCTCGCAGGCTGTGGGGACCCGGGCCGGTCTCGGCTGCCTGTCTGTGCCAGGGGGCAGAGCTGCCTCCCGGGCGGTGGGAGCACATGACGGGTGAGTGGAGGGGGAGCGAGTGGTCAGCGCGCTAGTGCCTTACACGGCTGCTGTACCGGGTGCAGGTGGCGAGGCCCTTCCTGCACTGCTGAGTTCTGAGAGAAGCGGCAAGCGGAGAGGTGACCTTGGGCACGGAGGCCCGAGTACCACATCCTGAACTCATCTCACTGGCCTTTCTGGGAGAGGACTCAGGCCTTGCTGGTGGTCCTGGAATGTTGCAGGCCCTTGGACCTTCCTTCCTGGCCCCTGACTTTTTTTTTTTAAATTAATTAATTTAAATCCTCACCTGAGGATATTTTTCCACTGATTTTTAGAGAGAGTGGAAGAGCAAGGGAAAGACAGAGAGAAATATCGATGTGAGAGAAACACATCGATTGGTTGCCTCCTGCATGCGCCCTGATGGGAATCAAACCCGGGACTCTTCCGTCTGCAGGCTGACTCTCTGTCCACTGAGCCACGCAGGCCCCTGACTTTTGACCTCCCCTCTCTGCCCTCACTCCCAAGGCCAATCACTGCCCTCCTCCCGCCAGCATGTGTCCCTGACCCAGCCCTGTCCAGTGTCATTGCCACACTCAGCAGGAGGCCTAAGCACCGGGGCAGGTCTGCAACTAGCCAGACCTGAATGCTGTGTTTGTAAGTTATACCCCCAGAAGTTGCAAGAGGCCAGTGTACCCCAGGGGGGCAAAGCTGGAACTGGTTGTAAAAATATTCATGATTATATTTACCAAATAGTATTAGTATAGAAAGACATAAAAGTATGTTAAAAATCCATCTTTATAGTCTTTGTAAAATACTCGAAAAAATATATATTTAAAAAATCACCCCAATTCTTCCCCGGAAAACTTCCCTTGGCCCTCACGTTTCCGACCTTCAAATCCCACTCTGTGCCCCTGCCTCCGGGGCTGCTCTAGATTCCGTCCGGGCCGCTCATCTGCCCGCCCCGGGGCGGAGAGGAGGCGGCACGTCTGCACGGGGAAAGTCGCCGAACCGGAACCGGTACCTGTTCGCGTCACTTGTCACCTCCCCAAGGGCAGCCCGACCCGGCCTCCCGAAGACTGGGTGCGGGATGGGGTGCGGGGCGGGACCCAGGTAACCCGCGGGGAGACCAGCCGGGGCCCTTGGCAGCAAAACGTTCCGCATGGCGGGGCCATGCCCAGCTCTCGGAGTTCGGGCAGAGTTGGGTCGGAGCCGCGTGGAGGGCCGAGGGCGGGAGTCTCCGCCGAGCCAACCCCGAGGGAGGGGCGGGCGGCCGCGCGACCGCCCAGACTCAGAGCCTAACTGAGGGCGGGGCGCCTGGAGGGGGCGGGGCGCCTGGAGGGGGCGGGGCTCCTGGAGGGGGCGGGGCCCTGGCGGGCCCGTTCGTGTGCACACGAGGGTTTTGCCTGCTTTTGCGTCGGGACTACTAGTTCCACGATGCTTAGCGATGAATGAGCTGACTACAGGACCCTTGATCTGCGAACAGAAAACAGGTTGGCTGGCTCCTGCAGGGCACCCACGGGGCATCAATCCCAAACCCAAGTATAGTGC